GCAGCTGCCTTGGCAATTACACCCAGTCGAACTCTTAGGAATTTTGACATTGGGCTCAATCATCAAAGATTTGATGTATGTGAAACCTGATAATCAAAAAGAGGATAATTCAGCTTGTATAATATCATTAAGTGGATACTAATAATGCTAATATTACTCTCCAGTTTTTATTTCAACTTACCTGATGGTGAAACTGGTGAATCATCAACGCGATTAGTGGCTGGAATGCGCTTAAATTCTAGCCCTTTAGAGATGTCCTCACATACCAAGCTTAACAAAGACATTGCATTAATAGATGTTAAAATGAAACTGATTGCACAATACTAAATGGAAATCAATTGAACAAATACCCCTCAATTTCTGAAGTAGACTTTGGTATGCGTCCACAAACAAAGTTAACCTGCAATAAAAAGAAACAAACTATCAAATTATAGAACTACCCATAGTAAACAACCATATGCATTTGCTTAGTCAGGTAAGAAGTTTGAACATAATAGATATTATCAAAGCAACAGAAGCCATTCAAAAATTAGAAAATTGACAACACCAAAAACTTTATAAAGTAATAAGGGAAGTAATTGGTGCACTTAGTAGCAAAATGTAAATGAGAAAATAGCTGACCACATTTTCGGTACACATACTAAGAATACAGCTAGGAAAAAGTGAAATGCAAGAAAACCTTGTTTCTAAGGTAACCTAACAAATTCTGCAAATGTTGAAGTACAGAAAAAAAAAATTGTGTGGAATGGATCCAGGATTGATTTAGGAAGAATATTATATATGAGTCATCTTTATAGCAATGTCAAAATAAGAGTGACAAAAATCTTGTAGAAAAATAGGTAAACAATTTATTTTGTTACTTTAGAGCAAAACCGAATTAACATTTTAGTTATTTTACCACGATGATACCATTTTCAGCTGAAAAAAAATATCTAATCTTGGTTTTGAAGATAATTTATTAGTTTAAAAGGCGTGGTTTACGAACTACATTATATGTTCAGAACATTGAGGAACTATTGGTTTTGAAATAGCTTATCTAAACAATGTTGCACCAGATATCCACACTAGGATATTAAAATATGAAAATATATTTAAAACATCAGCTATCATAAACCATACAACAAGAAAGCATACAGACCTGATCAGTAGTTAGTTCTGGTTGGCCCTCCAGTCTTTTCAGTTGGTACTTATACACTGTAAATCCTGAAACGCCCTTTTGTGCCCAGTACTTTACAACCTATACGAAGAAAGTATGGAAGTGGACTAGAGTTACACCAATTAATAAGGAAAAGCAATAAGATTAAAGACCTTAGATGTAGTTCTGACTTCTGAGGAACAAATTTTTCCTTGTGAATTTTCGCTTTTAGGAAATCAGAGGTAATATTAGATAAAGGGATACAGAAACTGTACCTCATATAATCCATCATACGTGTATACTCTTTTGGTATAGCTACTTATGCAATCATGACCACGAGTTACTCTGACAGGCACGTGGTGT